TTTTTTTTTCTCACCGGATGATATTTTTCCATTGATTTTTAGAGAGTTGAAGGAAGGAAGGGAGGGGAAGGGAGAGAGAGAGAGAGAGAGAAACATCGATGTGAGAGAGACACGTCAATTGGTTGCCTCCTGCATGCGCCTGACCGGGGCGGGGACCTAGCCTGCAACTGGGAATCGAACCCAAGACCCTTTGGTGTGAGGGCCGACGCTCTAACCACTGAGAACACCGACTAGGGCCAAGCCTTTTCTTAATGCCCCTCAGATACATCTTTGTTAGTCGTGATTTTTTTGCTTTTTTTAAGAAAGGTTTTTTTAATTGATATTTAGAGAGAGAGGAAGGGAGAGGGAGAGAGGGAAATACCGATATGAGAGCGAGACATCTATCGGCTGCCTCCTGCACGCCCCCTACCAGGGATCGAGCCCGTGGCCCAGGCACGCGCCCTGACTGGGAATGGAACCAGCAGCCTTTCAGTCTACAGGACAATGCCCAACCAACTGAACCACACTGGCCTGGGCTTTTTTTTTTTTAATTTGAGAGAGAGAGGAAAAGGGAGAGAGAGAAACACCAATTTGCTGTTTCACTTATTTATGCATCATTGGTTGATTCTTGTATGCACCCGGACCAGGGATCAAACCTGCAACCTTGGTGTATCAGGAGGACGCTCTAACCANTGCAACCTTGGTGTATCGGGAGGACGCTCTAACCAACGGAGCTACCTGGTCAGGGCCATTGATCACGCATTTTGCTGTGCAGTTTGTTTGAATGTAAATGGGATGATATTATTGTATATATAAGTTGCCTGTGGACTTGATCTTTGATCCTAGCGTATCTTCCCCATCCTTGTTAACAAAAGCATTCTTTTAACAAAAGTTATTCTGGACAAAAAGAAAAAAAAGCAAACAATATGTAAAGCCTGCTACCATCTATGTTACGATAAAAAAAGAACATGCGCCCCTATTTATATGTTGTACTTCCATGCCCATGGCCTGCTTCCAGAGTGGCACGTAGACTTGATAACAGTGCTGTGGAGGGAAGAGGCAGCTGCACTGGGAACGCTCGGGTCATGCTTGATGGTTTTACTGTATCTGTTACTTGTTACTCAGTCACCTTTCCAAGGGCCCCCGGCCTCCGTGCCTTGGCAGCACACCTTTCCAAGGAAGGGACCGGAGGGCACCNGTATCTGTTACCTGTTACTCAGTCACCTTTCCAAGGGCCCCCGGCCTCCGTGCCTTGGCAGCACACCTTACCAAGGAAGGGACCGGAGGGCACCCCATTAACGCTTCATGCGCCCTAAGTAAAAGATTCACCTACTTTAAACTTAAACAAAATATATTCTTTATATTTTAAAAAAATGGAAATAAATGGATTATCCATCAATAAGGGAATAATTGAATGAATTATGGAGCATCCATAATATTCTTTGCTGCTATATCATGAAGACCTAAAAAAGAAAAGATTTGAGATACTGGTAAAGTCGCCTTAGAGGGATTTCCACAAGGTATTATTAAGTGAGAAAAGTATGATATTGAGAAGTATATATATATATATATATATATATATATA